ATGATGAAATAACAAGCACTCTAATCTGAATTCCATCTCACGTTGATTGCAGCGGATGACTGATGAAGTGATTTGGTTGATTATTAAGTAAATCTTAATGAATAGTGATCACCTACAATATGAATCTTAGCATCAAACTATTGTTTGTGCAGTCTTTTTACTGCCAATTGCTTAGTCGTCTCAAAACAAAGATGGCAAGTTCCCCACTCTGTACCGAAACCACACTTAAATTCAAAAGATATGCATCACTAGTAAAGGTTGACTTGTAGTGACTTACTTTTATCACGAGAACACGATTGGTTTAATGTAAACAATTATTATTATAAACAATTGTACCAGTGATTTTTTAACTGTGCTAAAGTCAGCCATATTACTGCTTCATTATTTTGATTGTGATCTTGCACGAATTAGGTTAGGCTCAGTAACCACACTTGTACTTCTTTGACACCATCTCGGTATTCTTTCGATCCTACGAAATCGCCAACAAACACATCTCGACAACAGTCATCGACTGCGTTCTGATGTCTTTGGTCTATGGGTGATTTTATCGGTTAACTGGCGCGTAGTCCTCTTGTAGTGGTGTTCATAGTCAAGTGCGCCTCGACTCCACGCTACAATTGGTAAACTCAAACGTACGAACACGTCTTAACCTCTGGTCAAATCTTCCTAAGAAGGCTATTGCGGTGAGTCTATTATTTATCTATCCAGATAAGCAGACCACGACGCCCTTGACTTCGGATAAGATTGCAGGCTCACGGGATGCAAACGAAACTAGAGTCTCACGTTCCGGTTGCCAAGTACTGTTGCCTGTACGCTTTCGCGACTAACCGCACCGTCACTAACCGATACAGTGTAGGACTATTCCAATACTAAATGCATGCTACACTCTTCTTCTTTTTTGATTTTTTCTGCATCCTGAGACAATGCATCCGATTATAATCGTTTGGTACCGTCGACTTCAGCCAACTTTGTCGAAAGCCGGTCTGACCAACCACGGTCTTGTCAACGCACTCAGTCGATATTTTGGTTTCCAGTGTTTGGCATACGCTTGGTCTCGAACTTGCTCGTAATGGTCGCTTCTGGTTCCTCGGTTCAACGTGGATTCGTCCTACGTCTGCAGTATTTCTAGTCCGCATCCGTACGAACGCAATGTTCAGATTCTGGATACAAACCACTCTGGTGTGGTATGCCAACTCGATCAAAAATACAACAAACTGCATCTGGTACCGTTCTCCGAAAAAGACCTTCGTTGGCAGCTCGACCATCAACCATCGCTTTTCTATTACGCCAATTCTTCCGACCTACACGATCTTGGTATTCTCTCGATACCACGAGATCGATAATCAAATAAACTTGTCAACATTCTGTCTTATTATTTTATTGGCACGTATTACTCAGTAGCGGTGTTCATAATCAACTGGTAGTCGACACCACGCAACAGACATCTCAGTTGGTAAACACGATCTGAGGAGTATCTCTCTGTCGAAAAATCACTTACTCAGGCTAAATGAGTTCTTCAGAAATATTGGACGTTATATAGCTGATTGAATTACTTTTTTCTTGTTATACTTTATTTGACGAGTTAACCAGAAAAAAATAATTCAATATGCTATTTCACGTCCAATATTTCTGAACGCCTCATTTTGGCTGAGTAGAAAGTAATTATTTAATTTGTAGTTATCGTTACCAAGGTTTGACTTGACAATTTTGAATAAATTGAGCATTCGGTATATTTTTACAAATAAATAAATAATATATTTGTGATATCCATTTCTGAAGATGTGGCTTACATCTTACTTACTTCAGTGAGTCCAATCAAACATACTTTGATTCTCTGGCTTTGAATCTAGATGAAATACTGGAATTTCGGTTGGTACATTGCTGATGCCCTTCATCACGTAGTCTCAAACAAACATCACAGTGAGTAGCCTATTTGATGACTTTCGTCTAGGTTTCTGAGTGAAACCTATCCCGAAACAGTCCGCTATGTCGTTTGCCTTGCCGTGATCTTCCACTGTCATTTGAGACACATTGTCTTTTTTAGTTAGAATGACAATCCAATGATGTGTTCTCTTTCTGCAATTGATATGCAATAGCAGTCGCTTAGGCTGTGGGATGACACATTGTGTTGAATGCCTCTCATATTTTCGTTGCGCTGCTCGAACTTGGCTCATACGCTTATCTCGAACCGACCTGCATTGTTCCGTCGTATTTCGTTTGTCGAGGATGGTGGCGAGTTTTCAACGTTTCATCTTTTTACCCACTGAAATTCGAATATCATTGTTTATTCAGATATGGCTGTTAATTATCCGTTTTGGGATTGTTGAGGGTATAATTGATTACTTGATTGTATAAACACTGGCAATGAGTACATTTCTCTCTCATCAATGCGTCAGAATAAATTTTCTAATTTTCCGTCCAGTCAGTGGAGTTGATCACCTTTTCATATCTCTTTCACATGTCAGGATGTGCCGAGGCATCTGCTCGATAAACTATATCAGCCATGAATTTGCATAAGATAGCCAAATGATTAATTCTCCCTACAGGTGTAAGAAACTTTATTTGACTTGTATCATACTAAAAATAAACCAGCGTCTTATCCCTCGAAATTTCAGCCGACTGCCTACCAGTTCACAGGTCTATGAATCATTTGTCTTCGCCGTAACAGATTGAGTTGTTAAGGTACAATTTTCATATACACGACAACATTGCCGCAAATACCGTTTAGTATTTCAGCTCTACAATGTCAGAAACCAAACAACGGTTAGCATCATTCCTATCTATTGCTCCCAATAAAAATCCTCACATACATTCTTTGAGTAAGATTTCGCGTTCTGTAATAGTAATCTGCCATGATCTTTCTAGGGCAGACAGTGAACTGTATCAATAATGAAAGGTTCACTCACAAAATAAAACTAGAATTATCAGCCTCAATGACTTCTAGCCAATGTGAAATAAAAGTACTAAGAATGCACCTGATAAAATTGAACTATTATTATGATTTGATGGTGTATGTCCTAATGGCTGTTAGACCGTGATGTACATCTCCAAGCACCTTACTGCCTACCGATAATGAAATAGATGACCTCAATGTGGAATTGTTGCCCATTGATTGTAACATAAATCATCTAACAGACAAAGACATCTTGACGCATTTTACTGAATGAAGTATCAGTAGATACTTAATTCTTTAGTTACGACTATGATTCCGATTTAGAGTTAGTGCTACGGTTTAGGACTAGAATATCAAGTTAAGTATTCATGTCCATAGCTAGGATTAAAGTTTAGAATTTAAGGGGTGTTGCAGTTTGCAATTAGTCTATATTTGCCGTAAATACTAACTAACTTCAAGTGCTAAAGTATATCCTAACAGTAAATTTAGACCATTAATTCTGTATACTGATCCTAACCTTAATTCATAAAATCTACATCCAAATGCTAAACTTTGGAGCCTAATCCTAACCCTGAGTCTTAATCGTGAACTGCAATACTAAACCAAAATCTTAGTTTTAGAACTATAAATCATTTGTTTATATCCGTTGCATTCTGATTAGCTGAGTAGATTGAACTTATCAGTAATATTTATTGAGTCGCTCAAGAACATCCTTACAGTTATCTAGAACTGCCTATTTTCCAAAGAAATTCAGTCTCAGAAATATAGTTGTTCATTCTTACTTCTCCAAGTTCTCAATAATGTTAAACTGTGATTACTCGCAAATCAAAATATCAACTCTCAACAAGTTCATACTAATCTCTGCGATAAATCACATTAACTATTCAACTGAGTTGATGTAACTTGTGTTTATAAATGCTTATAACAGACGAGATATTGATCCATAACTCAGTATTTAAAACTCAAGCATTTATCTTACAAGTGACAAGCAGCTCATCCTCGATAAATAACTGCATAAACACTGATTTAGTTGTGGATCGAGAAAAGAAAACGATTAACGTCAGCGCTATTTATTGGTGCCAGCCTGGCTTGATTCCATTTCTAGAACTGAAAAGGTCTGCCATTTATCATTCAAGTGAGCTTCATCAAGGTATTTAAACAGACAGTTGGAATTACTGCTTTCTAAGTTTATACCTGATTAAAGTGCTACTTAGGAATGGTCCTAGATAGTGACTAAATTGTTTAAATACATTTTTGAGTGTTCTATCAAGAGTTCAAACCTTTCTCCCTCTTAACTCACACTGAACAGCTGACTATTGCCAGTCTTTAGGAGGAAACGTGTGCCACACAAACAACTTTCTAAGCTTGTATTTGATTGACATGTCGTATAAAATTTGAAGCGGATAGTAATTTAATGCTCATTCTTATGTTGTTTCAGGATGAATATATTGAGGATCTTAAGTATAATTTTTAATTAGAGAAAAACATGAAGTTCTATGTAAAGAAAATTGTCTTGCAATATCACAAGCTGGCAACCTATTGACTTTTTAGTGTGATAGTGAGTGTCCCTTATCGACCGAGATTAGTTTAACAGTAATGATAGGTCCAGTGATTTACCTGTCTACTTCAAGTGAAGAAATAGGGTGGAAAAAAATTAGTGCAACTGCAAAGTAGGAAAAATAAGGCAAACTGAACCTGAAGTCCATTTTGATCTAGACATGGAGAGAGCCTATGTAGTCTAAGTGTGGCGCAGATGTGTTCGTACGTGCAAGATCAGTGCAAATGAGGGCTTGATCAAGGAGTTTTACAAACGTATGTAATTCATCTGCCATGCGAGTTTCGGAGAGAAGACTTTTCCATATTATTGCATACTTGGTGAGGAAGAAGTTTTCCCGAGTTTTTGGTCTGTATTTCTCAACTTTGACCGTAGATACTTTGTTTCGAAGTCAGTATTCATGTGAATCTGTGGCAAATATTATCTTACATGTTGAATAAGTAAGGTTTTTGAGTAGTTTGAAATAGAGAATCAGATAAGACCTAAGCCTTCTCTCTCAAAGGGGTGCTATTCCTAGGATTTGGCGTTCCTTCTGAACTTTTAACTGATCAAATGGTTAATCATCTATTGAGCACATCCGAATCAGAATTCACATCAAATGTCCATGGAGCTGTGGTTTCGACTCGTCCTTGTTCTAGAACTAGTGTTTCTGCAGTTGCAGCATCCGATGGTGCTGAGTCAGATGTTTCTGTTAGTCTTTGGAATGCAAATGGGACGGGTTTCGTAAGTTCTTTGAATCGAGTTACATCCACCACTCGTTCGCTTTCACCTGTTGAAACTCGAAGAAAGAATACCTATAAACGAGGAATTATATCGCACCGTCCACTTACTACAATGAAGAGCAGTCCGCAACTTCTGAAACATTCTGCTGAAGAAGATTGAAACATTCATACCTCAATAGAAACCAATAATTCCCTCCACATGGAGAAACGTCGAAAGAAATTAGAAGAATGTTTTATACAAAACCCGGCTGTCTATACTACAGCTGAAGATAGTTTAGGAATCCGATCTTTGCGTAGTTCGTATAATTTGTACCGCAGTATCATCTCCTGTTGAGCCACAAATAGGCACCATCAATAGAAGAAAGGTTCTTTATTCAAATCACACCCAAGGCACATATGTTTTCAACGAGGGGATTAATCCCGACCGAAAATGCAGTGGACCTCCAGGTTACGCCAAATCACAAACAAGTATCATCGTTTATAACAAACAATTTCGTGGTAATAACTGTAATTTCGTCTTCTACTATATACATGTAATTTGTATAAAAAATTTTCTGTTAGTTATTAGAATCATTTGTTTAAATCACCATTGTGTTTTCTCTCTCTTTATTTTGTCATTCCTTTCTCTCTTACCTCTGTTCATGATCATACAATGAGATATATTTACGTTTTTATAGTATTTGTTTCAGATCATAGTTCAAAGCGCTTTGTTTCACTTTCCTGTATGCGCTTAAGTTTCATTTTCTCTATATATCTATCTAGTCCATTGTTCGTTTTGTTCACTAAGCAGCCTAATTAGTACAGTGATCTTACCCAAACATTTGAAATGGTATTCTCCCTATTATTATTGTCATTATTATGACTGATTAGTGTTTATGTTACTATGATCATTCTCTTGCCTATACTCCATCTACTACTACCAGCTAGTCGTACATTGTTTACTCGCACATTTCTAATCAGATATATTTGATCATTCATATTTTAGAAAAAAACAAACTGACTATTTTGACTATACACTTTTTATCTTTCTATACTATATTTGATATTTTAAATTGATTGGGTATTATGATTTTACTATAGTTGATTAAAACCAAATTAACCAGGGTCTGTATTTTTGATCATGGCTTCTTATACTCTGCTTACAAAATTATAACAAGTAGATTAGTGTATAAATACTCTTTCTATTTTAAGAAGAAGATTTTCTTTAACTTATTTTTGTTTTCGAAACGTCTCCTTAAACGTATGTTGTGGTATCTGTGCATGGACCACTTATATCCTTGAGACTAATATTATTAGTAATAATAATAATCAGACATTCAACTATACTTTATATCCAAATGTATAGATATACTATTCTACATACTGTCATACACAATTTCATTTTGTCCTGTCATTTCATTATCTCACCGCTTTTCTCATTGTTTCTGTAAATATAATACATATAGAATGAATAGCATTCGGTTCATGAATGAATTATTCTGTTTTTCTTAGATTCCTTCCCCTTCTTCTTCTTCATTAATACCGCACTCAATTCAAAAAGGGCAGTAATTTTTCAACGTTTTTGCTACATTTTGTTCTGATTACCTTTTTTTACTCCCGACTAACATTTGTGTTCACATTGTTTTCATTTTGTGTTATTTTATGCCTTTTAAATCGAATTACAATGGTTGGTCAGACTCACAAATGTGGGCAACCAAATTGTTTGTTTTTCGTGGAGGAGGTAAATGCAATGTGACGATTGTAAAACGTGGTACCACAAAATGTGTACATGCCTGAGTCCGACGGCTTACAAAAGATGCTCGAAGCCTAACTCGCATAGGATTTGTATGTTCTGCTGTACGGATTAAAAGGTACTAGTTCAGGAGGCTATGGGTCTATTGGCTTTGGCCTGCAAGAAAAGCGATGGCGGAAGCAATGATAACAAGAGTACTGACGGAGAAGAATGAGTCAGTGTAGTAAGTGCTGCTACCAGACCCGTTAAACACCTGACTGTGGCTGACGGGAACTTGAAATCTCCGTTGACATTAACGAGGAATGAAGTTCAGCTTGATATTGACATCGGCAGTCATACATCTGAAATGATGGAAGGAGATCAGGAAAAAGCACAGTATTTGGCTGGATACTTTGGGGCAGTTTTCACTCAGGAACCTCCTCAAGAGAAAGAATTAGACCCAAATACAGAGTCAACAAAGCAGCTGCCCGTCGTGGACTTCGATCAAAACGATGTGCATAAGGCTCTTAGCACCCTAAACATGGAGAAGTCAACAGGACCAGATGAACCACACCCCAAAATCTTGAGACATATTGCCCAATATATCGCGGCCCCACTGACTATGATATTCAATGTGTCACTTGACCAAGGTGTGTTACCAATGGACTGGAAAGAACACAATCGTCACTCCCATACATAATACAGGTCAACGATAAGTTCCATCGAAATCCAGACCCGTGAGCCTCACCGGTGTGGTAATTAAAATACTGTAAAGAATAATCAAACGGACCATAACGTCATTTATGGAAACCAATAACTTGCTGAACATGGCACATAATGGTTTTATGAGAGGGTCTTTCTTGTACAACAAACCACCTTATAGCAAGGGAGTTGTTGATTAATGCGCCAGACAACGAAAACTCAGTCGGTGTTGTCTACACAGATTTCAGTAAGGCTTTTGACAAAATGCCAACTAATAGACTGCTATTGAAGTTGGAAAACCTTGGTATTTCCGGACCTCTTTTAAAATGAATTAAAGATTTCCTAGTAGGTAGTAGACAAAATGTAAGAATAAACTCCAAGTGCTCCATCTGGTAACCAGTACTTAGTGGAGTACCCCAAGGTTCCGATTTAAGTCCTTTACTTTTTATGATGTACGTTAATGATCTAACAAGTATAATACAGTCTCCAATGTTATTATACGCTGACGATGTATAAATTCAGGCAGACTTGAATAATATGATAAACCTGTCTAAAGAGTGGCTGATGTCTATCAACGCGAAAACGTGTGTCTACATGCACTTGGGGATTCAAAGGTTAATAAGTACAGCATAGGTGATGTGTCATTACCCGTAGTCCGGTCTCATAAGGATCTAGGGGTGACACTGAGTAATGATATTAAGACGACGACCCATTGAAATATTAACAAATAATAATTGATTACTAAAGATTAGTGTTTGAAATCTAAAAATATGATGCTGACTATTTAAAATTTATTTCTATGAATAAACATGAGCCAAAGATACATCTTCCATCATGTTATGTTGGTCAATAATAATATTAAACTTTCCATTATCAGTTGTCAATATTCGATCAACTGCAACTACCTATTAAAGTAATTTTTATGGGCTATAACATTTATTTTCTTTAATGTACGTTCAATTATTTAATAAAAACACTATATATATATATATAAGCCATGTGACTATATAGAGCTGAAGGTCGCATATGAGACTGGAGGTGCGCCATTGGTATTGTAGATGAGTCGGCATTGCTTTGGTAAATTTTGCTGACTGTTCATGCACAAAACTGGTTTGCTGGTTTACCGATTTCATTCATACTTGTGATTGCTTTTCAATGTTCTCAAGGGCCATTGACATTGGGACATCGTAAGGCATGTCGCCATTACTAAAACTGATCAGTTGGACTGTTGTTTAAGCTGAATAGGTCAACTTTGGCCTGTCCGTGAAGTGCATAAATGATTCATGTGATCATTGATCGGAATAACTATACATGTGACGTGAATGTGTATATGAATGTTGAGAATGGTCTACCAGGGTGCTTGGTATCTGTGTAGTTGCACCACAGGACTGAGCTGTACTGTTTCGGTTGTTTGGATGTTGTTTGGTTTTCCTGTTAACCAATGTAAAATTGCCCTGGCCCACAAGGGTATATTATGTTGATGTACTTGCATAATGTAGAAAGCAAATAACTAGCATTTAAGGTCGGTGTTATATCCTAGTAAAGATTAAGTTACGGGTAACTTCTGGGAACTAATAATATACAAATATTATGTATTAATGTTTTCTACGCCCTCAATAATGACACCGATGCTCAAAGATGAATTACCAAAAAAAACTAAATTAGTTGAATCACTCGTATATTGTTACTTTTATATGCAGTAAAAGCGATTGTATAGGTGCTAGATGTTTTAGATGTGTGTATACATAATACAAAGTGTTGAGTGGTACAACTACTGTATAGCCCTATTGGTTTGTTTCTTTCCATTTAGAAAATAAACATTATTGAAATTTCTCTTGAAATAAACAACTATCACACTCCTTGATGTATTTACAGACATTGCTGTTAGCGGATGCATTATAAATAATCTATTGAAGTGCAATGCAGTCTACTTTTATTTGTTTAGTATAGGTAAGTCAAATTTGAGGTTCGCTGTCACAATCTCTAAAATTTACTTAGAAGTTCAGAGCATTCGTTTTACAGAAATACGAAACTCCACGTAGGCACGAAATATTCTTGAAATCTCCCTGCATTAATTATGAGTGATTTGAATTTCTTAATCATTAGCTTCACAGGGAACCACTAGTTTAGAAATCCGTGCTCTGTATCCTTAAGCTTCTTAGAAGCTTGGTAAATAACAAACCTCTCAGTGTGTAAATATTTTTCCCAAATGATAAATCGACTGTTTGCTCAGTGATAATGATGAGGATTTTATGTAGTTTACATAACGGGATAATCCTAGTTAAACAACTGGCGAATCTATGAAATACTGGGGAGCTATTTTAAAACTATTCAGTAAGATTCATTCATGACCCCACTGCGTATCGAACTCAGGACCTTCAGGTCATGGGGTAAGTGGTAAACCATTATATCATTGCACTGAAATTCACTGATTCACATATCTAACTTCACTCAACACTTAAGATTGTGCAACCATCTTTCAATGCTTTTGGTGGCTAACAACTCCACTTCTCATATGACTGAGCTCAACTAATAACGACTTCTGACAAGAACTGCAAGAATTACCTCTAGAAATTAGTCACTTAGAAAATATATCATTCTAATTAGTATAAGGTACTAATGGATTATAGTTTCTTTTTTTCTTTCAGCAATAATTGGCTAACAATAGAAAATTTAGAACCAGAGTGGTGTTCTCTATCTTCTTTCAAACCTTTCAATTAATGATTCTAACTATCTTTAATCCATAG